TTTTTTTTTTTTCCAAATTCCAAGTCGTCATCTTCTTAGAGCAGCTAATGAGATGTCTGGCAACAGTTCGGCACGCATTAAGTCCTCCAGCTCAGAGCACATTATGCTGCCTCGTTTCATACAGGCCAGTTTGATATGAATTACTCCTCTTCTACTCTTTAAATTTTTTTTTGCGGATGCTGCCTATATATTAACTAAAACAGGGTTTAATGTGATGCTGTAATGGGAAGTCCTTTATATTGTTCAGTGTACAAGTGAACCAGTATAATTCAGAACCCTTTAAGAGTGCTGACAGGAATCAGGCCATTTCAACCTAAATATTTAATTCACATTTTTCTAGTAGCAGTGAGATAACAATCTGATGTTATGACAGTTTGTCTACTGAAGACAGCGGTGTCTCATGCAGGATGCTCTCCTCCTACACTCATCACTCAGCTGAATATGTTGAAATGTTTTAACCGTTAATTGTGAAACACTGTGAAACATATAATTTCCTTTGACACAACCGGCCGTACAGGCTCCTGCGGCCCGTCTGCGTCCAAATAACGTGCATGGCCACGCAAGTCCGTCCTCTGAAATTTTGAGATGCAGACAACCTGTAAGCACATGTCAAAAAAATTCAACAAATTATGTGAGAACAGCGACGCCACAAGTTTAACTTGGTTAGTTTGCAAGTGAGATGTGCAATTTTTAAGGTGCTGTGGGAAGAAAATCTGTCGTCTAAGATGCACATTGCATGCAATGAGGGAGCAAGTGCCCCTTTTGTGTTAAGCATGGAGCACGCACTCACAAGTCATGAACAAAATCGAACGCACAGTGGGCGTCCGTCACCCAATGCAGGAGTATAAACGGCGTGCTCACGGCGCTCTCCCGTGTTTCACCAGTGATCTTCTATTGCTTCAAACAAATAATGGATATACCATATTATAATCAGCTTTGTATTGCTTTAAGTTAATCTACCTCTTTGCAAACAAGAGTTCATTTTAACGTCTGAAGCAGCAGCATGATGTTCTCCCTTCCATGTGAAAAGATTAGAGACTAGAGTCCCTTTTGCTCTGACTTCACTGTTTATGACCTGAGTGTCCTCTTGTTATCACTTAAGAGTTAGTTAAGTTACTGACTGGCGCCTGATACACAGAGACAAGCTGAGCAGACCAACGGGAGCTGGACACACACACACACACACACATACACACACACACACACACACACACACGGCTGTGGCTCAGGTGGTAGAGCGATTGTCCTCTGACCATTAGGTTGGTGGTTCGATCCCCGCCCCCTCCACAGTCGAAGTGTCCTTGGGCAAGACACTGAACCCGAAGTTGCTCCCAGTGGCAGGCAGCACCTTGCATGGCCGCTCTGTGTGTGAATGGGTGAATGAGAAACATTGTAAAGTGCTTTGAGTGCCGCTAAGGTAGAAAAAGCGCGATATAAGTGCAGACCACTTACCATTTACACACATACAGATTTTCATCACTATTTGTTATATAGTTTTAACTTTTGTCCTGAAATCAATTTGTATCGTCCCAGATCTATTTTTTAGCGCCCCAGGATGATGGGACGACCTTTAGCTCAAACCCTGTCAGTATGTTAACAGAATTTAGAAAGATAGAAAGAGCACCTATCACCTGATCGCTGAAGTGTCTCTGGTTTGTTTTGTTTTTGTTTTGTTTTTCGAAAATCACACCAAGCTGACGTCCGCTGTCAGTACGTCGTCTTGTGTGAGGCAAGTGTGACTTCCTTTCACCATGTGTTCCTGTCTTTTCCTAAGCGGTGAGTGTGTGCCACGTATGCTGGTGGCAAGACAAACTCAAGAAGTGAATACAATTTCCACAGCAATCACACTTTGCAGTTAGCACCCCTGCTCAAACGGACAATTCACATCGCCCCTGCGACTCGCAAGGCAGACTTGCGCCTTTGTGACGGAGCCCTTGCAACCTTTCCTTTACCTCTACGGCCTCTATGGCACCCACAATCCACAAAGGACGTCTGATCCCAAAAGTCGTGCGTCCGGTTGTGACTGAAGCTTAAGTAGCTCCTACATTAACTAAGACTAATCCGAGGATTTACATCTGTGCTCACACTCACAATGACAAAGCAAGTGTGTTGGTGTTTAGTAGATGTGATGTCTGTCCTGTTCATTGTCTTATTTCCTGTTAATATGCAAACATTTGCTCATTAACAAGCACACAGCTGAGTGCAGTTAATGTAGTATGGATGTCTGATTATTAGCAAAGGAAAACCTTGGACGTCTGCAGCAGATTTCATGTCAGTCCGTCCAGTAATTGGCATTTTGACATAATATTTCACATTAAATCGATAGAGGGAAGGTTGGGTTTCTGTAACAAATTAAGTGGCGATCCATCAAACAGTTCTTTAGATATTTTAATCAGCATCATCGACAGTATTTAAAGAAACTGACGTCGCCACTGTGCCACAACTATATTATCTTGTCAATCACAAGGTGGCCAGAAACATAACCTGCATCACTTAGCACATTTAAAAACAGCAAGATCTGAACCAAAGTGCTGTTTGTTTAAAAATAGCAACCCATAAAACAAAGTCAAACACAATGCCTAAAAGACAAATAGAAAAAAATACAATAAGATTGTTATTATTGCTGTTTTACTCTTTATTCACATGGGGCCAACTGACAACGTAAATGGGACTAAAGTTCACCAGGAGGCCGTCAGGGAAAATAAACTTGGACTGTGTTGTAAGTTGAACCACCGTTAACACCTTGACTTTTCCTTCACCTCACGGTTTCACAACCGCTCACACCTCGAGCCGTCTCGTCTCGGGGTCATTTGGGTTTGAGAATAATTTCCAGGGATTCCCAACCTGTCAGCTGGAACTGAGGAAGCCTTTTGGAGGAGCGATGAAATGGTTTTAAAAGCCCAAAAAGAGTTCCGATTACTTAGACTGACATTGTACACAAACATACATGGAACTGTAATTGACAAAATGAACATTATGCTGCATTTATTGAGGCTTGAAACGCTTGAAGTAATTAAGACCATCAACTCATTATGGCTTGAGAATTAATGCAGGTTTACGCCGCCTTCTTTTAAACAGTCTTGGTTTGGACCGAAGTGGTTCACAAACAGACAGAACAACATTTTAATGGCTACAAATGACCTAATCGCATACTTTCTCTGCAGTAACTCACAGCCAAAAAGACAAACACAACCTGCAAACTAACCTGATTGATTGTCATCTAACATTTAAGAATCACTAACTTGCTCAGTTCTTTATGCACATGAGCAGTGAAAAGTGTAAAAGTATGCAATGAAATGATCCACTATTTAAAATCCAGGACCTGCGTGAAAATATCTGACTAAAACCAGTCAAAGTACACGATTACTGGCAGTAATTCTGCAGTAGCTGCAGTGTCCCAGTCTTACATAACTGTTGCATTCACCTCTAACATTGATCTTATACGGTACAGACATGCTGCTGCTTTTTAATCAAAATAACATTTTGCAAAGCCCTCTAAGGCATTGCAGTGGCACTCAAACAAAACCGAGAACTCATCATTAATACAGAGGTTTATTGAAAATTAATAATTCTTTCCATGCCATGTCTGTACGTTTGCTAATAAAACCTCAATCAGCTGCTTGCCTACAGCTGAGCAAATGCCACACAACACCTTCAGCTAATCTCGAGACAAACATGAAGCCTGAGAAGCTGAATCTATGTCGCATATTAAGAAATACAGTAACGCATATACTGTTCTCCAGCTGTCACAACAGGCTCCGGGAGAACAGCGCTCACTGTGTTCAGGGGGATTCCTAGCGGCACCATAATGGGAGTCATGTGGATCCACTCTCTGCAAGACAAAAAACGACCTTATCTCATCCGTCCTTTAAGAACGTCTCCGGGTTGGTAAGGAGACGCGTTCGTCGACCTATGAAGAGCGTCCCGTCGAGCGTGTCAACCATTAGAGGAGGGTACACGTCGCATCACACCACGACGGGACTCCATTTAGGCTGAAGTCAGACTGGGGGGGCCAAGCGTTTACCATCGCAGCCATGGAGCCGTTTGTTGCAGCTTAACCTTCTGCATGGAAAGCGGTGAGCATTTACGTTCTGTCACTGAATTGCAAAGCAGATTTGGATTGCATGCGCTACCCTTTGTAGTCTAGAATTGGTGATGTGGGTTTTGGGTTTATCCTTCAAATGCAAGAAGCTGTATTGTTGTCTAAAGGTCAACCATCTCCTGGAGGGTGTAGGAGTGTTGCCAAGTTCGACAGCTCTGGAAGAATAAAAAAAAAACAAACGTGGGAAGGAGTTCTATACACGCCACAGGATAATTAGATTCCAGTCAATCACACAGAACTAAACACACATCTTGTGAGTTCTAAGGGAAAGTACCTGCTGGCCCGCTGCCACATCCGAAACCTGACATAAAACCTTATTTTCTCATCCACAGCCAGGCGGATTGAAACATGTACAAACACGCATCTCCTCAGAGGAGCGATGAGGCGGTCCAGGGTCTCGCTGTCGCCTCCTCCAAAACATCTGCGTCCTTTGTCGCCGTCAGCGTCACAATATGTAAGTAATTCCTCGTAAAGTTCACCCGCATCTTTGTCTTTCGTAGTGCCACTCCTAAATGTAATAGATCACATCGTTTCTATTCTCTCTGTATTTATTTCAAAGGGTTTATCATGGCTCAGATGTGCCAGGGTCAACTGAGGGCACAGCTCGGGACAACCCCCAACATTAAACACATTGTGGTTGGAAGGTGTTACACCTACGTCACAATAGTCAACCCCAGCTTAAGGTAAGGCACCGTGCAACCATTATTTATCCTGTCACAGCATTTTGCAACCTTGACCGGGCCTCAGATTTGATGCACATTTGATGCATTGAAACATGAATCCACAGCTTAGCTCTGATGTGAACTGAGCATCAAAAGTTGAAAGATTTGAGCTTCTGCAAATGAAAAAAAAAGAAGAAAGTTTTGGCGGGCACATTATCAGGCCAGTATTGAAGTCCAGATGAAGGGTAGTTTTGATGTGGTGTTCAGTGAATGAGTTTCTTTCTTCTTATGGGTTTAGCTTCTGTAGAAAGAAAGAAAGAAAGAAAGAAAGAAAGAAAGAAAGAAAGAAAGAAAGAAAGAAAGAGCTTATTACTGTGTAACAAAGAGCATGTACTGATATCCTTTGCATGAAAATACATTTTTATTAAATTGAGAATTCTTTCTTATGTTACTCGACTACCTGTAATTTAACTCAATGTCATTTGTAACACATGTCATTTGTTGTTAATCCGTTTCATCACAAGTAAACAAAGCGTCAAAACCTCTGCTCAGGCTGTTCATGCTGAGGCCTTCATGGATTACAGTCCAGTAATTGACGTAATATCAACTGTCAATCTGTTGGTCACGCTTTTAATTGGCATTAAATTTAATGAGAAACATCACATAAATCTCATGAAGCTCAAAATGTCGTCTGTACAGTTGGAAGCATACTAGTGATCTGCAGAACAAGCATTTTTTTTCCCCCCCAAACGTGGCACATGTGCTTTGAAATCAGAGCTAATTATTGTTCTTTTGTTATCAGTTAATCAGTGGATTAATTTCTGAACCATTTTTGCTATTAAATGTGAGAAAATGGTGAAAAATCTCAGTTTCTCAGAGCTCAAGGGAGGAAATGTCCTATTTTGTCCAACAAAACCCCCAAAGACCAGTAAATATTCATGTTTCAGAACTGTGTACACGCAAGAATTTTGGCCTATTTTTCTGTACAAATAACACGTGTCAAAACTAATTCTGCTTTTTAGAATTGCTGCCGATCCATTTGTACTCTTTTCCATTTTAAATTGACTAATTGTTGCATCTCTGTCGTTTAATGTGTAGTTACGACTGTGAGGAGATCTGGAGACAGTTTGAGGAGGCGGTGGTCCATCAGTCTTCTTGTAACGTCTCAGTGGAGGATTATTATCAGATGTTTAATGTGATGCCACAGATCTGGCCTTGCAACAGGGTGAGTGGTATTTTTGTTTGAGCTCATTTTTCATTGATACTTGATTCTGTACTTTAACATGCTTTGTTTTCAAATTTGTTTTTTTGTTTAGTTCCTGTTCTGGAGTAAAACCAGGACACTGATGCACAGCTACGCAGCTGTTTTCCGGCACTTCTGGACGCTGGAGGACACACTGGTCGGCTACATGTTCAATGACCTCATCTGGTGTGGCCAAGACGAGGACTCGGGTATGTAGTTTTTCAGATTTAAACAAGACAGAGACGATTACAAGATGTGCCACAATGCTTGTTTTTGATAAAGAAACTTCAATAAACCTTGTGTATATCTAGAATATGTGCACAAGTTCACCAAAGACAGATTGTTTCCTCAAATGAAAAAAAGAGAAAAGACAAAAAATCTATTTTTATGTAGCAGAAAAACAGTTTGTCTTCTTTCCTGTCTAATTAATTATCTTACAACCCCTGAGATGTATCATGATCCCTTGAAGGAACCACTGTATTAAATCAGTAATCACATAAAAGCAAATATAAAATATAAATTCCATTTTCTTTTCTTTTTTTTTTTTATTTTATGAACAAATCAAGTGACCTCGTCTATCAAAAGAAAAACATTTAAGTCTACTAATATTTACCAAAATGAAATCAAAATAAAGAAAAGACAAAATGAAACATGAATTATGTATTAATTAAAGAATTAAAAACTTTTACATTTACATTTGTTTTATAGTTCAGGCTATCACTAGTACATACATATACTGTTTATATTTAAATGCTGCACCATTTAAAATGTTAATGTAGTGCTATTATTAATGCTAAGAGCTAGCCATCAACATTAGCAAGTCACATTTAAGATTAATTCTACAAACAATACATATCTCAAGTATTTAAGTTTAAAATAGTGCAAATAGTACAAAGAATGTTCTTTGCTAATAATATAAAAAAGTTATATTGAAATAAACTTGCACGCTCGCCTGTTTAATGAATCTGAAACTAACATATGCAACCAGTTAGCTTAGCCTAGCTTAGCACAAATACATGAAACAGCAGGAAGAGCTCACTTGTTTGTGCTCATAGTGGACAAAGTAGATATTAAGGGTTAATTATTTTTGCGTTACAGCTGCTTGTAGCTTGAGTTTGCAACTTAAGGACAGAGCCAGACCAGCTGTTTCCCCCATTTCCTGGCATTTTTCATATTTAAGCTAACCAGCTGCCAACTATAGCATCACATTCACTATATAGACATGATATCAAACTATTTGTGTAATGATTGTTGTTCGTATTTAAGTCACAAAAAAAAAATGTGTATTGAATGATGGAGACATTTATGTTTGGGAATTTTTACCATGAAGAAATCTGGAAATCATACGGTAGCACTGGGATTTAGCTAAAACATCATCACTCAGGCAGCTGCAGCTGTGCTCCCAAATGTTTTTTTTAGATCCTTTTCGGACTTTTATTACAAATGTGCATGTCACCTTCAACTTGTTTTTGTTACTGTTAATTCATCTCTCAAGTAACGACACATGTGAATTTGACACAGGTTTTGATTTCAGCTCTTGTCCGAACTGGTCAGCATGTAGAAACCATCCAGTCTACTCTCTGTGGAGACAAGCCTCGCAAAATGTGAGTTTAATGTCCCAGCTGCAGAAATACTTCCATCATGACATTCTACACACAGTTGTGCTGTTTGTCATTCCTCTGCAACATACCGCTCCAAAACCGGCAGCGGGACAATTGCTCTCCAGTGATTTTCTTCATCCATTTGTTAGTTTGCAGAGACGGCGTGCGGAAACATCACTGTGTTACTGAATGGATCTATTGTTAACGCCTTCAACAGGAAAAGGTAGGAAGCAGTGAACGATGCTGATGCGTTGCTGTCAGTTTCTTTGACTATATATTAAAGAAAATCTTCTTTTATTTAAAAAATTTCACAGCATGTTTGGAAGTGTTGAACTGGACAACCTGAATCCTCAGAGGGTGGATTATGTCAACATTAAGGTGGTGACCGACCTAAAAGGACCCCATATGTGAGCACAAAAACAGCAAACACCACCAGGAACACCAAGTTACTATACAAAAAGGACCACTTTGTGATAAGCTACTGTTATTTAAGCAGTCATGAGCCATAAATAATGACTTTATTGATAGTCAGTAGATCATTGCTTCACCAAAACATGAATATTTTTCGCTCTTTCAGCAGGACTGATGGACCAAAATCCATTTATTATTACCATATAAACTGCGATCGTTATGGTTTATTAAAAAGCTTGAAGCCCACAAGTATCCAGCGTTTATAATTAAAATGACAAGGCGATACTGTTACCCAAATATAATGACCACAAAGTAGATTTGAACCTTATCAAACAGGAACATCTTCCACAGTCTGGGAGCACAAATGTTGTCATTATACTCGGCAAATAATAGTAAATGGTAACTTATCAGAAAGTAGTATCCTTTTAAACATCATTTTCACAGTTTATAACACTTGTTCTTCTCCTCCACAGAGAATCATGTAGTCATGGATCCATTGTGGACCTGATCCAGATCCTCCAGTCCAGAGGTTTCCGCTGGACCTGCACCGACAACGACCAGTAAGTGACATCCTGAGGCCCCTTCAAGCCGCTGTGGCTTTAGAGAGATTTATAACAGGGAAGTGGTAGAAACCTCGGGCGTCAATCCAGGACGATGGGTTTAGATTGCCATTGGACACACATTGGTGATGGATGATTTGGAGGTTTAAACTTAAATACGCTACCAAAAATCGTAGCTGTAGGTGAAACGTCGTGGCCATAGTGGATGTTACAAAGTGTGTAGGAGGTGCTAAGGAGCCACATTAGGACCCATAAAATATCACATTTTTCGCCAGTTCTGATGCAAATTTCACAAGTTTTTGAGCATGTTTAGGCCCTCAAAAATGCATTTGTGGGGCGCCATGACAGCTCACCTGGTTGACCTGGCGTCTCAGGTTCAGGGGCTAAAGTCCCCAACGCTGTGGTAGTGAGTTCGAGACCCTTTACGGCAGATCCTTCACCCATTCTTCTCCCCCACTTTCCCGTCTCTCTCGTCACTGTGCTGTCAAATAAAGGCCAAAAAAAAGGCCCAAAAAATAACCTACAAGGATGGAGGCCACCTGCGTAGGCTGTGTGTAAATTCTAACAGTTCGACTGCTTCTACAACCAACTGGAATATAACATGACATGACACAGAATTCACTCGCTGTTGCAACATTGTGGATATTTTGACTAAAACAAGTCGTTTTAAGCCTTTAATAGACTCATCTGGCACTGTTGCACTTGCAGTAAACTTATCATTGTTCAATTTAAGGGCTAAGCTAGCTACATAGATGTATCGTGACATCTTCATTTTATATCACATTTGTTAAAAGATCAACTTTCTGATGACAGCATTTTGAATTAACAGTAATCATGTCTGTCCACAGGACCCTGATGATCCTTCAGTGTATCCAGGACCCCAAGCAGTCGTCCTGCCAGACGTGTGCAAACAGCCTCCAACACAGAACGAGCATATCGTCCGACTGAATGCCACTCCGTGTAGTCTGATGCTGGTATTTATACTGGGTGAAGGTGGAATTAAGGTCACTGTTAAATAAGCAAACAGCCGACACTGTGAATGCTGACATCTCGAGACAAAGGTCAGAGATCGGCAGCTCCAATGATTTCTTGAATGAGATGTGTGTTCAGATTAAGTCTTTGCAGAAAAACCCTGAGTGTCTGTTTTCCAAGAGCTCCGGGCGTACTCTCAGCAGGATTGTGTTGGGTGCAAAAGATCAGTCATGAAATTATTTGAACACAGCCCCTTTGGTGGTCAGATATTGTCGGGTTAAAAACCTGCTTGGATGAGTGCTGGTGATGAGTGGGGCTCTGAAGCACGTTAATAATAATAATAATAATAATTTCTAAAACACCAGTTTGTCGTGCTGTCTGTTTTTATGGTGACCAAAGATCACAGAGGATGCAGTGCAAGCCCTGAACATTAAAATATTCTGTGATAGTTTGGAGAATATTTTTTTAAAAACGTTGGTTTCAGTAGCAAGTATCACAATACAGCGTGCTCAGCTTTCATGAATATAAAGCTTCAGGGTGGAACACACCCACATGAAACTTGAGTTGTTTGCTTTGTTTTGCCGTTTCCCGTTCATATCGAAACCACAGTTTGGAGTTTGATCTGATCTTGGAACCATAACGTACTTATCGCCTACTCTGCCACTTCATTTATTATTTATTTATGAGGTCATTCCAGTAGGACACATCTTAGACATGCCTGTATTACTGAGCAATTAAGTCGTTATAAAAACTGGGACGACAAACCTGTTTACTGGAGCGGCTAACCTTTACTTCTGACTCCCTCGCTTTGCGCTCTGTGGCGTTTCTCAACACGTTCGCTATTGACAGCTTTTTCATGACCTTTGAATTATAGCCCACAAACATCCTTCAGCATATCTATTATTAACCCACTTACTCGCTCGACACAAAACATCGTGGACATGTTTATGCTTGCACCACGCATACATTTTTGTGCTTTTTTGAATAACTTCCATCCTGAATTGCACTGCGGCCAATCAGAAGGTGTCTGTATCTAGAACTGTGGTTACTGTAAGTTATTAAAAAGCACGTTTGATGGATCTATTGTGGGTTCATATCTGAATGTTTACACTTCAGATTTTGAAGTTTAACTGAATTTAGAGCTGCAAAAATATATAATGTAGCCTATTTAATTATTTACCATTTATTTTGTTGTCTTGTTGTTAAAGGCGTCCATTAGTGAGCATTTACACCCTCCACAAGGAAGTGCAATGTACAGATAATGCATCTTATTGAACTTTAAATAGCTTTATTGCTGTTATTGAAGTATTGTTGTTTTGGTTGGTACCATTGGGGGCAGGCTCGTTTAATCGTTATATATTTAATCATTCATATTTTATCTTTTTATGTGTCTGTTATTAACCTCATCATTCCTAATGTCCTAGATATGGGCCTTTCACAATAAAAGTCTTTATTTTTGTTTCTTAGAGGCAGTGGTGAAAGAGGTATGCATTAGGTAATGACATTACTCTCTGCACACAAATACTCAATTTCAAATGATTCAGATTTAAAAGTGCACAAAGTAAAACCACAGAAATATTTGCAATTAAATGTTATTTGTTGTTGGGTGAAATGGAGCTAATAACTCATCTACTCCACTGTTTAGCGTATATGTACAACAATGCATCATATAAACTGCTATATTTTCATATATGTTTGCAGTTTTGATCTGAATTGCTCACTAATTATTAAAAGTAAAAGTAGTTCCAATTGATACAAACTTACTTGGACTTCTGCTGCTTTAAACATGTACTCCACCATTTCAGAGGGAACTATTGTGCTTTTTATTCCACTGCTTAATAAATAAGCAAACATATTAGCGCATTTGTCCGATAAATGTATATCAATATTATTTTGTTTATTTATTTTAAAGGTCTCTTCACTTTGCTTTGAAATAAATGCTTTTGTGTTTTAACTCTAGTAAACTTTTAAATGCATCACTTTTACTTGTAATAGAGTATTTCTGTGGAGAGGAAGAAGTTTTATTTTGGTAAAAGTACTAATACAACATTGTATAAATACTCTATTACAAGTAAAAGTCATGCATTCAGAAGTTTACTTATTGGTGTCACTTTGAGTCCACCAGAGGAGTCTCATGATTGCAGCAGCTGTATTTTTATTTATTTTATTTTTTTTTTGAAGCCCTATTTTTAGGAGATGCATAATTAAAGTGACGTTCTTTTTAATGCATCAATCCAATAAATACATTTTTTGAAGATCTCTTCTCCATAAAGAGAACTTTTGGTTGCTTTGAAATTAATACTTTTGCACTTTTACTCTAGTAAACGTTTGAATGCATGACTTTAACGTGCAACAGAGTGTTTCTACAGTATTGCATTAGTACTGTCACCAAAATAAAACTCTTTCCTCTCCATACGTGACCTTATCAGTGTCACTTGGACCACACCAGAGGAGTCTCCTGATTGGAGTAGCAGTATTAAAAAAATGAATTAAAAAAATAAATAAAACAAGTGCTATTATTAGGATGCATAATTAAACTGATGTTCATGTTAATGCATTAATCCAATAAGTACTTTTTTTTTTTAAAAAAAGATCTCTTTTTCTCTTTTTAAAAACTCTTTCCTCTCCATACGTGACCTTATCAGTGTCACTTCGGCCACACCAGCGGAGCCTCCTGATTGGATCAGAGTCTCCGGTCACGAGCCAGCCCGCGCGCGCACGGTGTTCGCGCATCTCCACAAATAGACGATCGAGCGCGAGCGTCGGTATCAGTGACAACAAACAGGAGAAAGTCAGTCAGTGGAACTTTGCCTTACTTCTTTTAAATTTGTACAGTTTTTACAAGTTGTATTTTTTCTTTTTATTTTTTTTAATTTTTTTTTGATGGAGCAAGCGGAGTCTCGGCTGCCGGAGAAGAGGCGCAGGAGACGCTGCGTCGTCCTGAGCGTCGTCGCCGTCCTAATTGTCATTATTATCGTCGCCGTCGTGCTCGGAGTGACGCTCAGTAAAACCTCAAGTCAGTTTCAGTCTGTGTTCATGAGCAGGTGTGAGAAGTTCAAAGAGTAAGTGTTGCAAGTCTGAACAGTTTATGTGCACTGTGTCAGACTTTAAAGTTTTATCTCAGCCTGCAGATAAACTTCTTTATATGACTTGAATGGAAATATGAAATGTGAGCTGTGCTGTGTGTGTTTATGTTAACATATGTGGGTCTCATTTGAACACTGAGGGGAAATATGAGAAGTAGGGGTCTGGGTGTGCTCATTTTGCTTCATTTTCTGCATTCTGGAGGACTTTTGTGCACCAATGTGTGCCTTTTTGTGCATCAAATTATGGTGGAATTGCTTGTTATTGCAATGGAAAACAACAGATGCAGGCACCAGCTGATAATTCAGAGTATTGTTGAATATAATGCAGCAATGAACATATGAAACTCCTGTAGATCAACTATTTTTTTTCATTCACCAACATGTAATTTACTCCTTTTTGGGGAAGTAGCCTCTTTAAATGTGGCCCCTTTTAATTTAAACCACTAACTTACAGACTGCATGACTGCTGAGTTTGTGTTTCTGCAAGATTTCTGCAAAACCAAAGGCTATGCATCTGCAGCTGCATGTTTTACATACATTTCCTGTTTATCAGAGAGATAATGTTCTTTGCATCCCTCCAGAAACCTATGTTGTTAACATGTCTATCAGCAGCCGATTTATTAGGTAGCTGAAACTAGTGCCAGAGAATGCCTGAGTGCGTAACTTCCACCCTTGTGGAGTTAGTTTGTTTTTTCTATTGATATCAGCAGGGATAGGCTGATAAGAGATCCTTTGTTTAATTCAATGCAGCACTCAATGGCAAACACCTCCAAACTGATCCAAAACTTCAATCACTAGTTCTCTGAAGTTATTTCAACAAAAACTACCATCATAGAACAACATGCAATCACTGGGATTTCATGAATGGAAGTTTTTCACGCACGTTTGCTCGCATGTTGGACCGATCCCTGCCAGTACAGGTGTTCACGTTTTGCAGGGATGATGTAATAAGAGCTGATATCCGTAGAGTCTCAATGAAAGACTCGCACGTACCGTCTCAAAGTCAATTTGCTGTTAAAGTTCAGCCTATAAGGTCCGTCCTGTTTGTTACTCCAGTCAATGATTGATCGACCGGTCGCCTCTGTGCACTCGGCTGGGTTGCCTATCTGCTCCGCATGCAAAGTAATGATAAGGTTGCACTGTTTCTGCATAAAGCTGATTTTGACTGGAGATATGAACTGGACTCACTTCGTAGGGTGTTAAGTCTTTCTTTTTTGTATGAGGTTTTCAAAAACAGGCTGCAGAGTACTTCACTGAAATATGAAATCAACAGGTGCACAATCACTGTCCACAGTGCAGTCCAATACAACTGCCATAAAGTCTTCTTTTATGACGTCTGTAATCAGCAGCTGTTGTCGTTTCCATCAGAATACATCTGGTCCACCAATACAATAAAGCTGATATTGACTCGGATGATTGGAATCGACTTGTGTGCTTTTCCACCGTCTTGCTTGAAATTTATTTGCCTTTCAGGAAGACAGGACATTTCCTGATATAAACTAGATGATGTGGTTTATGAATAGCAAACTTTATTGGAAGCATGTGCATCCTTCCGCAGTAAAACCAAAGACTGCTTTTAGCTTTGATCTTACCAATTAGCGCCTCTACCAATGCTGGATTTTTTTGGAAGATGGCATTTTTAGGGAACAAAAAATTCCAAACGTCGATAAATCGGCTGATATTTTTTATATGAATGTTAGCGGTTAGCTTGACGACGCTGCTTGACTCTGCACCACCATCTGCTCTGATGTTACTCTGCTACATGTGCTGCAGACGCTGAAAGTATTGTTAACATCGGAGTTGGAGTGGCCTCTACTTGGCTTACTATGTGATGACATCGTTCATAAAGTCTTTTTTCTGCACAGCTATCGATATCTGTGATAGGCTAATATTGGGCTAATAACAGACCGAATTTTCAGTCAAGCTCTAGTCGGAAATGAATGAAATCAAAGTAAATGTGTCACAATTTGCACCAAATTTGGGGCGACACTTCAGCTTTTTTTTTAACAGAAAGAGTCTTAACTACATTTAATATACTAAAAACTGTCATTTATTTTTTCAGCTCCGACTGTCAAAAGATATGGGAGGCGTTCCAGCAAGCCTATGTAAACAAGGACCCCTGTAAAGTTCCCATGGAAGCCTATGACCCCCTCATTGCTGCAGCCCCCTTCACACCGACATGCAACAGAGTAAACATCAGTCACTCCATCACTGTCGCATCCAGTCTGAGCAGACGTCTGTCTTAATGAGCGCTGTGACAATAACTCTGTTTGTGGTTCAGATGATGTTCTGGAGCAAAACCAAGGATGTGGTCCATGATTTTACTGACAAGAGAGACTGCTTTGTTACTCTGGAGGACACTCTGCTGGGATCCGTCCTGGATGGGCTGACCTGGTGTGGAAAGGAGGGCAGCAATGGTAAGAGTTCATTATTGCAGCAATATGCATTCAAAAAAATTAATAAAGGGCACAAACAAAAGAGTAGTTTACCTTGTATTCTGCTGTGCTCTGTGTTTTTGTATTCGTCATGCCAGTTCCAACTGATAACGTCAAACATCAAAGGTGTTGCTTGTCAGGGCTGCTGCGAGATTTATTTAGAATCATAAGGCCAGGTCAGGTCATGTCTAGTTTCGCACGCAAAGTAAAAAAAATCAAAGTAACCTTTAGAAAAACAAAATACAAACCTGAAGAACCGGTACAGAAATTTTGGTGTTTCTTATGTCATTGCACAATGTGGACATGCTTGACAGCTGAATTCACCAGTAACATGGACGTCTTTTGCAATGAGAGCTTTATGTTGCGCTGATGTTGAGAGCAAACTCGTCTTTGCAATAATTGTGTAGCATAGCAACACCTTAGCTCAGCGGGCTTCAACCTTTTTTGCACCACGGATTGGTTTTAAGCAAGAAATTTTTCTACGGACCGGTCACATAACAAAAAATAATTGTTTTTTCGATTAAAGCGTTTCATAAATAAATCAAATTACTTTTTTATTGATAAATATGTGTTTAGGTTTTCTTCCGTCTCAGTATCGGATCTCTCCCACTTTCCTGAGACGTTTGTTTTTGACTGACGGCTTCGTTTAGTGGCTACAACTGACAGTCAAGTGCGGAAAACAACCACAAACAGAAGTGACGGGAAGACGAGCTAGTCATTTTTCAAAATAAAACACCCTGCAGACTCTGCTGGAAATAAAAATAAGCCAATAAAACGTTTGTATTCTTTCTGTGCAGCCCGGTACCAAATGACCCATGACCCGGTACCGGTACATGGCCCGGTAGTTGGGGACTGCTGCCTAAGCTCATGAAGTATCACAGAAGTTGCATAGATATTCACCTACAGGAAAGATAGTTCACCAAGACTACTCTCTCGCCGTGCTGTGATCTATTCAGCTGCCTCTTCATTTAATTTACAGCCAGAATCTCCACCAGTCTCTCCGGTTTCCTCCCACAAGGTCCAAAAACATGTTGAGGTTAATTGGTGATTCTAAATTGTCCGTAGGTGTGAATGTGAGTGTGCTTGGTTGTCTGTCTCTAAGTGTGGCCCTGTGATAGACTGGTGACCTGTCCAGGGTGTAACCTGCCTTCACCCTGAGTCAGCTGGGATAGACTCCAGCCCCCCATGACCCTAGTGAGGATTAAGCGGTGTATAGATAATAGATGGATGGATCTCCACCAGTATGTTTCCAGAGGTTACTTCTGACCCAAAATGCTTTTCAACAGAGAAATAACATTAACCTCACAAATTTACTTGACGGATTTAAATATCAAGGTTAACATGCTATAGTTTTATAATATCTAGGAGCTGGAGTGATAAATACATCCTTTAAACAGAAGGCAACCTCCTGCAGAACCAGGCTCAGGGAGGGCGGCACTCTGCTTCCACCAGTTAGGGTGAAAAAGCAGCAAGGAGAGAGAGAATGCAAAGTTGAACTTGCTGAGAGTTTTCTGAGGCGATTGGTACAACTTTCACATCTGTATACTCGGTATGAAGCTACTACCAGAAGCTGGTTCGCTTAACTCATCCCAAAGACTGGAAACATTGAGACACAGCCAGCCCAGATTTACCTGGTTGCCTTATCATGATGATAAGATTCCGCAAGTGTTTTTCTCCAAAGAAATCACCTGAACCATAACTCCCCAGTTGTTTTTGAACTGCGGGTTTAACGAACCACCCGCTTTCAGACATGCATTTCATTAATGTGATGGAAACGTCAGCTTTATGTGCGGACAAGCACCCCGCTCGCTCTCCCAGAGAACGTGCGACGGCAATCTCACCGAGTTGGACCTTGTAACAGTTCATCACTTTCAAACGCAACACAAGTGCATGTCACATTGTTAACGGACAGGAACGGACACAAGCAACATGCCTGATCTTGTCTGAAGTGATTTACGGAAGTTGGTCTGAAAACATTGCAGAGAACAACAAAATGTCAAAATCACAAAACTGTTTTTCTCATTCTCTTTGCTCTACAACTTCTATTAGGCTGAAATGTCAATGCAGATAAAACTTTACAGAGAGTATAATAACTCAGACTGACGATGCTTTTAAGTTGTTTGGGCTATTTGATAAGTGTTAGTTCACGTTGACTTTCTTTGTTTATTGTTGCATTATCACATATTGGACATGACTTGTTGTACTGCCCAGTCTCACGGGAATCACAAATATTGCGTAATTTTCTCTGTTATATCTGAATAAAACCTTGAGGAACATGAACAGAGAAGAAACCGATATCTGAAGTACAGATTGCCTCGTGTTAACAAACTGATAATGCTCTAATCTTTCGTGTTTAAAAAGGACTTTATTAGGATTTAGAGGTGTTGGTAGTTAGATTATCATAGCCTTCCTCAAGGTTTTGTTATAATTATTCCACATAAGATATAGTATATCATATATCTCGAGTGTGTTACTGTTTGCATCCCAGTGGGACACTTCGTTTTTGTGCTTCCTTTTGTTCTTGCGACTTGTTTTCCATCCAGCGTGTTCATGTGATGTCCTGAGGTTTCTGTCGTGTTGCATTCGAGCAGCTCACCAAAACAAATGTGTTGCCGTTGCAGAAACATTCACCACCGGCTGCCCAGGTTGGGATGACTGCGACAACCCTGTTCGCTCGTTTTGGAACAGAGTCTCAGCTGCTGTAAGTTATGAGCAAGAATTGGCTGGTTTTCACAAAAAGCACGAGAGTCCCGGCACCACACATGTGGACCTTTAGGTGCAACAAATCTCTCCTGAGTAGAAGTGAGTATGATGGAGAGAAGACAAAAAAACAAACAAAAAAAAAAGAGGTCACGCTGCCCGGTTTCTTCGTCAATGAGGCTTTGTGTTGGTCTCCATGGAGTCGCATTGCTTAGCTCTCTCCTGAGTGAGCAGCGGCCCACTCAGTCAGAGGAGCTCCTCTTTATTCAGTTGCATAACAGCTCACAGACTTCTCCATATATTCAAATACAATCCAAAACCTGGTCGATCTAACATAAAGCAGCAGCATGCACAGACATAACAATCTATAAACAGCATGTGAAAGGTAGAAAATGTTAATATACGATAAAAAAAAACAGGTTCATCTTCAAGATAAACAGTTAATGAGGCCTTAGAAAGCTCCAAGTGCTGCAATATAATTTAATTCACTTCAGCAAAGTTTACAGATGTTTGAGACTAACAGTGACAATGTTTTTTGAAAAAAATGATATCAAACTCTCTACTAGACATGCAAAAGGTGTTATGCTGCATAAATAAACCGATCTCAGTAGTAACTGTGGCTTAACTTTCCTATTACCTTCAAATGTACTGACATCTTTTACCCTCAGGTTCGATTTGACCTCAGCAGTATAAACCTCCATAAAATATCTTAATTAAAATTGTTACCCAAGTTTATGTGTAAATAGCCCTTTAAATAAAACAGAAAAAAAATATGTCAATGACTTATTTAGAGATGTTAAACATTGATTGGGGTCACCTTTACCCCAAAGATAAAAGGAGGGTTAAGGTATACGTATTATTAGCTTATTGTCACTGTAAAATGTGTGTATTTTCAAATAAATGACTTTCTGCCAGAGAGCACTAAAATACTACAGTGTAATATTTAGAAATGAGGATCATTAACAAATGAATAGTTAATATAGTTCATAGTTAATCCTATTTAGGACTTTTGGGGTCTTTTGGACTCCAGGCCATTTGGTTTAGGTGACAGGTGTTGTTTTTTTATTGTTGAAGATTATTTTTTACTATAAAAACAGGACCATTTGTCATGTATTTGGAACCAAAAATACGTCAACTTATCAGAACATTTATTTAACATAATATAAAAGTCTATAATGAATACCAACAGATATTGTGTTCATATGTCCAGTGGACCCTGAAACACCTTCTACGTATGCCAACATGAAAGTCCTGAATAGGGTTAGATTTATATTCTCCAGGTCTCATGAGGGATTTTACACGTCACGTGCTGAGTGAAGTGGCACTGAAGTTGCCTTTCACCTCCTTATTATCTCTGTGCAGTATTTCCTTGTGTGGGAAAGTCCTCCAAAAACCTGCTTGTTTTACCAGGTATGGAATCGGTGAGAGGGAACTTGGTGGTATTGTTTCGTTGTTGGGATTTGGGGAAATACCTCCTTATGAAAGCTCAGGATGGATTAGATGAAATTAAAGGAGGAATCCCCGGTCACATTGAAGGTGTGGCACCGTAATGATAAAACCGTGATAAAGCTGACCTTTGCATTCGACATCATACTCAGTGATAACAGCAAATCATTACACTGCTCATAAAATAGACCCGTGATGTGATTCCTCAAAGTAGAATAACCCAAATGTGACCTTTACTGGCTCCAAACTAAAGCTAATTAATAGTGTTTCCCTCCAAATATTGCTTTTTTTTTAGCCAGATGATGTGAACCTGTAGTCTAAATCTAAAGTGTGTTTTTCTCCATGTGCAGTATGCAGATGTAGCCTGTGGTGACGTCACAGCGATGCTAAACGGATCCATCACCGCGCCGTTCAATAACATGAGGTAGGTTCAGAAACTGAAGAAAAGCCAGTTTCCTAATGTGACTGTTCCATTTTACCAGTGGAGGCGGCATCAAAGATGTCAGAAAGTGCCGCTAAAACAATATTGTACAGCAGTTTTGTCAGATTCCATCAATCTTCATGTGCATTTTGTTCGTTTGTCGCGTGACTTGGCACAAAAAAACAATATGAGCGCTAACTTCCTGGTGCATTCTGGGACACTGTTTTTGTTCTTGTGCATGTATATGGGCTGCCAGTGAGTTTTAGAATTCATTTTAAGCTCCTGTTTATTCAACTAAAAGCACCTGATTACATCTGTGACAGATCTGAACTAGTGGACAGAAATCCTTCTATCAGGGCTCCACTATTTAGTTATGACTCACTTTTAAAGTTCAGTTTCATCCCAAGGCTTCCTTATCATCTTATCATCAGTATTTTTTTGATGCGTTTCACTGATTTATCTGTGGGAATGAGCTGAGTTTCGATCATTTCGTGCCTTTTAAATGGCAGTCGTTGCTGATTTTGGTAAGTGTTTGATCAATAACATTATTTCTATTACTGTACAAGGCTAAAGGTTGTTGTAGGAAGTTGAGCTGCTGACAGGAACAGGAAGTGACTTTCTCTGTCCAATAGAAGGCTAATTTATTACCTATTTAGAACGATTCATTATTTGTCTTCACATCTTTGAAATGGCCCTTAATACGACCATTACTACCACTAACTGCAATTCACATCCCTCCACTCTTTAGTTAGATGTTGATGTCTTTTTTTTCTTTCTGTACTGTAGATGAAACATTAAATCCTGCTAATTCTGCCAACTAAAGACATCATTTCCAGAAACTTTCTGGTCTCGTGTAGTCCATTATCTGTCAATGAATGTGACTTTTTTTTTCTTGATTAATGGTTAAGACCATTAAAATCCTCCTTGATTTGTTATCAAAATAGTTTCCTGTTGTTTCTGTGATAGTTCCAGCTCTTGTCTTGCCGTATTTACATCATCAAGTCAGGATGCTGCTGAACACATACTGTTAATTGGAGGCTTGTGTCAGTTTTAGTATATTGTTAAAATTCTGTTTGTTACTTCTATTTTTCTATTTTCTTCGATTTGCATCCGTGTGCCTTCCATTTACACTATATATACATACACAGAGGCCACTAACTAGGCAGCACTTTATTGTTATCTTGTCCTTTAACACCTACATTATTGTAATTCTCACTACAACTGTCACACTGTTGGTCTTGACTGCTGTAAATTGTGCTTTTACTTATTTTGTTGTGTGTGTGTGTGTTTTTTTTTTACACGTGATCATTCTAAACTGAACTGTTTCGTTTTGCCCGTCAGCATTTTCGCGAGCATCGAGGTGAAGCGGTTTAGCGCCCCCAGAGTCAGAAGCCTGAATGTTGTTCTGGTCACGCAGGAGGAAAATGCGTAAGAATTTCTCCTTTCATATGTTTATTACATGTGCTTGAATGTTTTATATCTACAAATATCAAGAAACTTCAGAAAACTGATCTTAACGTTGTTGTTTCTTCAGGACAAACTGCACAAATGCATCTTTAAAGGACTTACAGAAGGAGCTGGATCAGGGAATAACATACAGCTGCACGGAAGTGCCTGAGTAAGTACAAGCTGATCAGGCATGTTTCAGTCCTCGCTCGCTGTTAACTTCTTGTTATTCCACCTCTTTCTGCAGAACTAAGATCCAGGAGTGCGCCTCCGATCCACAGACACCCTGTGGGGACTGCTGGTGAAAGATTATAACACACAACACAGGAACGACCAGCTGCAGAAACGTTTGTCTTGCTTTCTTCATGTTAAGTCTTTCTAAATGTAATTGAACTATTTTTGTACCCGTGGGCCAGTAGAACATAGTGAGAAATGTGTCTTTTTACATAGATGTTGCCGTTTTTACAGAATGACAAAGCACCTTGTAATTTTCTAAGGTGTGACGGGGAAACTTTATATTAAAACAGTTGTGATAAATGTTGTCTAGTGGCGTAACATGTCGGTGCTGCTACCTGTGTTCCACTCACAGTCTCACTTGAACGTGCTGGCGGAATTTATTTGCTATATTTTTTAAAATAAAATGTGAAAATGTTGACGCTGTAAAAGTTGTCTTTGGATTCTGATGACGAAGCTCCGTTCACTGAAAACCTGATATCTTCACAAATGTCTATAATCTAAATCAGCTTTAAATATGTATGTATATAAACCACCAATCCATTCTGCACTGACACTGGAACGTAATTATCATAGATTGTCTGTGTGTCACTTAAAAAGCAAAAAAAAAAAAGAAAGAAAGAAATCAGCAACAATATTCAACATCAAAATATCATTTTTTTTGTTTATTTTCTATTTTTAACACCAAGACGGAGGAGAAAAAGTGCTTTTAGGATGAATTGAAATCCATTCTTGTGCAGGTTTGTTTGCTTTTTATCTTAAATCATGTCTGTAAGTGTTGAATAGACAGTCTGAACCCATGAGGGGTAAATTATTTAAATGTTTTTAGTGAGTTTAAGCACTCATAGTGGCTCAAAGAGGTTAGATTTAAACACCCACTTTCATCTTTTATGTGATGCCAAAAACTGGCATTTTTCATATGTTTAGTAGATTCTAGGCATGAACTCGTCATCCATCCATCCATCCATCATCTATACAACACCTCACTAGGGTCATGGGGAGCTGGAGTCTATCCCAGCCGACTTTGGGTGAAGGCAGGGGACACCCTGGACAGGTCACCAGTCTATCACAGGACTACACTTAGAGACAGACAACCAAGCACACTCACATTCACATCTACTGACAATTTAGAATCACCAATTAACCTCAACATGTTTTTGTGTGGGAGGAAGCTGGAGACCTTCTTGCTGCGAGACAACAGTGCTGACCAACTGCACCACCTTGCATCCCCAGTAATGACTTACTATAGTTAAATCAAGAGACATTTGCTCAGTTTCTTTGAATCTAAATTGCAAAGTCTTTACAGGATAATCCAGATGTGGAATTTGCACATTTTATGTTAGCTCACGAGTTATACAGTCAGTACTGATGGAGTGGCCCAGTAGGAGTCTCTGCAGCTCTTCTGTTTTATAGAGTTTTTAGTCGACCTACAGCACAATAACACTCAAAGCATGGCAGAAAGAAAAACTGATTTCAAACTGGTTTCATGAACACAGCATGTGGCCTCCTTGGTCACCAGATCAGAACATCTTTGGAGTGTCGTACTGGGAAGATTGGCAGCGTGAGCAAATAATACGATGCCAACAAGGGAGCAGAATCTCTCAAAACACTTGGTGGAATCTAAGACACAAAGAAATCAGGCTGACTTGAGAGCAAAGGGAGGCCTGGTGTTGCTAATTAAGTGTCTACAGAATCTGCGAATATGGAAGAACTGCTAATTCAGAACTAGATGTCTGCTTCACTGTAAAGTAGGTTCGTGTGCACTGACGGGTTTAGGTTTCTGCACCACACTCATCTAAGCTGCATATTTATGCTGTTTTGTTTCCAGCAGATGAATGTATAAACAGCCTCCTTTGTTGGATCAGTGAGGCTCCAACAGTGTTGTAGAATTAATTATCTGAGCAGAAATGAAAGTTTAAATTCTCACCACGAGTACCTTCTGTAGCAGCTTCTGGTCTGATTCAGGCGGAAAAAAAAAATTGCAACAAAACCTGAAAAGTAAAAGACAGAGGATGAAGAACCTGATCTTGGGTGAAACTTTCTATGAACTCATCCCTTTTGGTTTTATAGAAAAAAAGTTCCTGTGACCACAAAATCCAGCAAGCTTTTTCTTGGCGGATTCTGTTTGGTTTCTCTTTTGATTCACATGAAACTAGAACCCCGCTATGCAAATATGCAAAGCGGCTAAACCGCTGAAGAGAATAGAAAGTGCTCCTAAAAGCAGCTCACGCCTGCCTTTTTTTTTTGGGGGAGGTGGGGGCGTTTGCAGCCGTGGGAGTCGACCACAGAGCGTCTCGTGTGAACCGAAGGCGCAGGTTCTTAAAGAGCGCACTTCTCATGAGACTGTTGTGGCAGGAAGAAGGAGGCTCGTGAAGCAGAGTCAAAAAAAAAAAAAAAAAAAACCTCCTCTTTCCTCTCTTGCTGCTGTGTCACACGTACCGTAAACGGGTCTGTGTCGGTGCTGGGAAGAGACGCTCGGGGTTCTCGCTGCACAGGTGTCGCATGAAGAAGGCCCCTTGTGTCGACTAAAACCACAACATGGGCTACTGTGACAAAGTACTGTAATGTCGGTAAGCATGGGGGCAGTTTGAGTCACGGCTGCTGCTGGAGGACTGATTCCTATCTCTGCTCGGGGCTTTAAAGTGTTTTGAGGAATAAAAATCCATATACGTATATATTAGTTATGATTAAAGTGAGCTAGTTTGACCGTAGCTTACAGTCGTCCTCTAATGTGTTCATCCCCGTCCATTAAAGAAAAGGCAAAATTCACAATAGTCACTCAAATTACTAGAAACTGAAAAAGGTAATGATAAATAAAAATTTGTTAAATTATAATTTAGTGAAATGAGACATTGCTTTTGAATTGTGGTTGAAAAGAATAATTAAAAAAACAAAAACTGTCCCAATGAGCAGTGGGCAGTGAGCAGTGATGGCGGTGATTGGCTCAAAGGGTTGTTCAACTAAACATTAGTGTACGGGTCGCATCATGCTTGTTTGCTTGTGTTTTGTTTTTGTTTTATCTTAAATCATGTCTGTAAGTGTTGAATAGACAGTCTGAACCCATGAGGGGTAAATTATATAAATGTTTTTGGTGATTTAGGCACTCAGTGGCTCAAAGAGGTTAGATTTAAACACCCATGTTCATCTTTTATGTCATGCCAAAAACTGGCATTTTTATGATCATAGACAACAAAACAGGGGCTGCATGGTGGCTCGGTGGTTAGCACCGATCCCTCGCAGCAAGAAGGTCGCCGGTTCATGTCCCGGTGAGGATCTTTCTGCGTGGAGTTTGCATGTTCTCCCCGTGCAGCGTGGGTTCTCTCCGGGTTCTCCGGCTTCCTCCCACACAGTCCAAAAACATGTTGAGGTTAATTGGTGATTCTAAATTGTCCGTAGGTGTGAATGTGAGTGTGCTTGGTTGTGTAGCCCTGTGATAGACTGGTGACCTGTCCAGGGTGTCCACTGCCTTCACCCTGAGTCAGCGCGATCCTAGTGAGGTGTATAGATAATGGATGGATGGATGGACAACTAAACACAATTGTGAGCTTATATATTAATTAGGATTCAAGTAAGCTAGTTTGACCTTAGCTTACAGTCGTCCTCAAATGTATTCATATCCTTCCATTAAAGAAAAGGCAAAATTCATAACAATCACTCAAATAACTAGAAACTGAAAAAAGTAATAATAAATAAAAATTTGGTAAATTATAATTTAGTGAAATGAGACATTGCTTTTGAATTGTGGTTGAAAAGAATAATTAAAAAAACAAAAAAAAACAAAAACTGTCCCAATGAGCAGTGGGCCAAAGTACCTGTCAACGGGTCTCATCATGCTTGCTTGCTTGTGTTTTTTTTGTTTGTTTGTTTGTTTTTTTCTATTTCTGTTGAACCACAATTCAAAACCAATGTCATGGTGTTCATTAAGTTTTTATTTATTATTACTTTTATCAATTCAGCTGGTTTTTTCCTTCTTTAATGGGAGGGTATGAATACATCTGAGGACGACTGTATATTAATTATGATTAAAATGAGCTAGTTTGGCTTTCGTGGCTCTGACAGTCGAGGTGCTTCATTTCAAACCGTCTATTGGCCCACGTGATGAAGCATTTGCTCAGTTTCAACCGTCAAGGAGTTCTGCTGTTTAGCAATTTTTAAGTGACATATAAACCCCTCAGGTCTTTCTTCTATGTAGGAATGTAAACACGTATAGACTTTAAAAGGCTCACACAAGACGGAGATTTTCCATTTGTTTGAGCCCACAGTAAATAGATCAGGGTGTGATAACGGAACCTGACAGATAAGCAAAACTTAACGTCAAACTTGAGTCATTTCTCAAGCTTACGGCGCCGTAAATCCAAGCACTCGAGGAAAGTACGTGACGGTCCAGGTGTCGGTTAGTCAGGTTCACCTGCTTGACACTCGTCAGACTGTTTCTTAATGCATCCATGTGCAATATGTGGATTTCCTAGAGTGAGGACCCACGTGTGAGTTTTTCAGAGGAATCCGACTGCCTTGATGATATCTGAGGCGTTCTCTAGGTGACTAAATGTGGTTTGTTTTCATCTGTTTTGTGGCAGCGTTGGTATAAAAGCACGGGCGTAATGTCACCTGTGTGTCATTTTAAAAAGGAATTTCATGAATCACAGTTCGTGAGGAGCTGCTGGGACGGGACAATTTGCATTTGGTTTGAGTGTAATTTGACTAAAAAGTGAAAGAAGCTCCCAAGCATTTGTATTTTTAGTCTGTGGAGATTCTCAGTCATCCAGGTCGTGGTTATTCTCGTCGTTTAATCGTAGCAGCTGGACTTTCTTGAAGACGTTTCACCTCTCATCCAAGAGGCGTCATCAGTTCATCAGTGTATTTTTAGGTTTAAAACTTCTTTAGCCCCCTTAAGGCTTTTTTTAAACTTAGTTTTTGGTTCCCGTCTGAAAAAAAACTTCCCCAAATTTAGTAAGTTGGCTTCACAGCTGTGCGGAAAAGCTCAGGCTCTGTGGGTCGGAGACACTTCTGATCATTCTGAATTATCTTCTGTGTCCACATCAGCAGGACGCAGTGACTTTGGAAACAATATGAAGTCAGGTCTGTTTTAGAAACAAGGCTTTGATGCAATTTGTCATCATAATACACAAAACATGAAGTGTGACTTGTACATATTTGACCTCACTGGCACATACTCTTGTAGAACATGATGGTACGCTGGCCCTTTAACATCCCAGATATGTCGGTGCAGCGTGCTTGTGCTAAACTAATCAAACCTGTAGCTTCAATTAGAGAGCCAGTAATACTGTCATTGATCCTGTTCTCTACCAACAAACAGCAGATCTGTTTCCTCCACAGTCGTATCAGGCTTCAAACCCACTGACGTCGGGGCATTTCTTTCTGTATTTGCATGCTTTGTGTTTTTTTTTTTTTTTTAGAAAGTAATTTTGCTCTTTTGATGACAAATACGTGCTGCTTTGTGACATCGGAGCGCTGAGCTGTTGCCAGATTACTAATAATGAGCAGAGCTGCTTTGAATGCAGGACTTTCAGCTTTATTTATGTCTGTAACTCGTTCCACTCTGGAAGTTCCTGGATCAGATCAAAAACGCAACCCACAGGGGGGTGTTTAACGCTGGGGACCCTCGAACTGCGGCGATGTAGCAGCGAATCGTCAACTCTCGAAACAACCATTTTCATATAGTTTTTAAAAAAAGAGAAAAAGCTCTGATTCTGGCTTCTTAAAGTTGAATATTTGTTTTTTTTTGGCTCCACTTTGACAACAAACAGAATATGATTGGGTTGTTGGAAAAACAGGAAGTGAACGATATTTTAGAGATGAAATCAATTAATTGAGGAAACAAATGACATATTAATGGATGATGAAGACACTGATTAGTTACTAGATTGTTGTGCTTCATCGTATTTTATAGAACTGACGTTGAAATGTTTTAAAAGAGAATTTTTAAAATCTCTCTCTGACCTGATGGTGAGTGTTTATTCTATTTCTAAATTCTTTTATCTTTTCCATTTTGTTTCTACGGTTGTGGAGATGTTTCTGAGATTCAAGGTGGAAATTAAAAAATAAAACAAAAAGTCTCATTTGTCAGGAGCTGGAGTGGTTTTCTGGTTGAAGCTGGGCATCCTGAAACCTCCCCCAACATGTGCCACAGCACACACAAGTGGAAGCTCCCACTTCAGCCAAACAGCCCAAACACACCAGAACTGAAATGTGTTGTTTTGGTGAAAAACACATCTCTGTGTGTTTTCCGGGAAGTTGTGTCCATTTGAAGGACGGCGAGCCCTTCAGGTCTGAGAGTGGAAACATGGAACATACAGACTCTAGTAAATGCAGGTTTCCATAAGAAATAATAAATGAGTGGCCCTGGGCAGAGTCCCCTGCTGCTGAGTGCCGGTTACTGGAGGAGGAGCACTGGCGTAGTTTCCCCTGACCTCCTTCCCTGAAACAAGCCCGCTCTGAGTCAACACCTTTCAGAACACACTGTCACCAGATTGTGTAAAATGATAAGCCTGTGAGATGTGTGACTTTCCCATAACCCGCAGCCCAGAACATTTACATTTTTTTGGACAGTTTCATTTCGATATTAGTGGCTCTTGAAAGCTTGTTTGGTTTCTAAGCGGCTGCCGTCAAACCCTCCAGGAAGTTCAAGGCGCTGAGCGTTCTGACAGGTCGACTCGCTGTAAGAAGTGACGAATGTGACGTGTGGAGCACAATACAGAAAAAGAGCTTGATTTATTATTAGTGGTTTTATGTATTATTATATGAATGTTAAATCTTTTGTTGATTAAAACAAGTCTTTGAATATTAAAACTATTTTTATTTAGCTCATTTCAGGGTTACCAATGAAGACTTTTTATGAAGATACAGCAGCATTGTAAGACATCATTTAGGTCACAAACATATATATCCATTAAGTAGTAGGCCAATCATACAAATAATAATAATTTTCTTTTACTTCTATTATTTTTTAGAATTATATCTATCTATCTATATATAAAGTGTAATGTTGGATTTGGGAAAAGTTTGCTTTTGCTAAAATTAAAGTATTTAAATAAATGTTCTGCCATGCCTTTAGGGTAATTTTTTTTTGTTGAACATTTTATTATTTATTATTTAATTATATGAATATTTCAGTATTTTTATATATGTATATGGACACTTAATGCATAAGGTTTCTGATAATTTTTACTTTGGTATATCTAATACATGTCTAATTTTTTTTTTAATTTACCTATTTATTTATTTAGATTTTTTTATTCACTTACTGATTGATTGATTTACTTTTAGTTTTAAATATTAATTTATTTTAAGCATTAAGTTAAGGTATACATTATTTTTATTACTATTATTACTATTATCATTATTATTATCATTATTATTATTATTGTTAATTCTTTAAAATATTCCTATTTTCCTTCCTATTTACTGTTGTTGTTGTTGTTGTTGTTATTACAATTTTCTTTTATTATTATTATTATTATTATTATTATTATTATATGTCATAACTTTGTGCTACAGGCAATTGCCTGTTTATTATTATTAATATTATTATTATTATTATTACTTTAAAAATATGTCTGTTTTTCTTCCTATTTATTGTTGTTATTATTATTATTTTATTTTTTATCATTATATGTCATGTCTTTGTGTTATAGGCTATTGCCTGTTTTTAATATTATTATTATTTCTTT